CTGCTCCAAGTATGCCCGCAAGACCGAGTTCCGCCGTCTCTGCGAGCTGCTCCGCAACCACTTGCAGAACGCCGCCAAGTTCTCTTCCCAGATGCACGCCATCAACCTGTCCGACCCCGACACCCTACAGCGCCACCTCGACACCCGCTTCCAGCAGCTGAACGTGGCCGTGGAACTCGAGTTGTGGCAGGAGGCCTTCCGCAGTGTTGAGGACATCCACACCCTGCTCTCCTTGAGCAAACGCCCAGCCAAGAACATCATGATGGCCAACTACTTCGAGAAGCTCACCCGCATCTTCTTGGTCAGCGAGAACTACCTCTTCCACGCCGCCGCATACAGCCGGTACTACAACCTCCTCCGCCAGTCCGCAGCGGCCGTCGCATCGGGTCAGAGCCCCAAGAAGGACAACCCCGCTGTCACCGAAGCCGACATGACCAAGGCTGCGTCCTTTGTCCTCCTCTCCGCTCTTGCCATCCCGGTCATCAGCACTTCCCGCTCCCGAGGTGCCCTTGTTGACGTTGATGAGGCGAGGAAGAACAAGAACTCGCGCCTTACCAACTTGCTCGGCATGTCGCAGGCTCCTACTCGTGCTATCCTCTTCAAGGACGCTCTCAGCAAGGGTCTGCTCAAGCGTGCCCGCCCTGAGATCCGCGACCTTTACAACATCCTTGAGGTCGATTTCCATCCCCTCTCCATTTGCAAGAAGATCTCCCCCATCTTGTCTCAAATCGGTGCTGATGAGGGTATGGAGAAGTACGTTGGCCCGCTCCAGCAGGTTATTCTCACCCGCCTGTTCCAGCAGCTGTCCCAAGTCTACGACTCTGTTAAGATCGAGTTTGTGCTTGGCCTTGCCCAGTTCCCTGAGCCTTTCCACGTCAGCGCAGGTACCATTGAGAAGTTCATCATGAATGGTTGCAAGAAGGGCGATCTCGCCATCCGCACCGACCATGCCACTGGTGTGCTCACCTTCGACTCCGACGTTTTCTCATCGGCCAAGGCTATGCACCCTGGATCGGGTGCTGGATCCGCCGAGATTGAGTCCCGCTCTGTGCAGCGTCTTCAGAGCACCCCGGCCGAGATTGTACGATCTCAGCTCACCCGTCTTGCCAAGTCGCTCTTCGTCACATGCCAATACGTCGACCCTTCGTTCAACTCCGAACGCCAGCGTAACAAGGAGGCCGCTCTTGAGCGTGCTAAGGAAGGCGCCGAGAAGGAGCACCAGGAGATTCTCACTCGCCGCGACATCATCTCGCAAAAGAAGGAGGCTGCTCTCAAGGCCCAACAGGCCAAGGAGAACGAGGAGCAGACTAAGAGACTCATCCGCCAGCAGCAAATCAAGGATGAGGAGGCTCGCCGCCTGGCCGAAGAGCAGAAGCAACGTGCAGACCAGCGCATCAAGGCTGAGCAGAAGCGCATTCAGCGTGAGGAGATGGAGAAGCAAATCAAGGAGCTCAAGGCGACCACCAAGGTTGATATTGAGCTTCCTGAGGACTTGGACGATCTCGACTCGCAGAGGATCCGTATCTTGAAGCTTCAGGCTCTCGAGAGGGAGAAGAACCAACTCGGCGAACAACTCCGCATTGCCGGCAAGCGTATCGATCATTTGGAGCGAGCCTACCGCAAGGAGGAGATCAAGCACCTCAAGACCGACTACGAGAAGCAACAAGAAGAAGACCTCGCAGCGTACGAAAAGGCCAAGGCCGAGGAACTCAAGGAGTCCGAGGAGAGGCACAAGGCAGATGTCGAGCTTAAGCATCGTCTGTCGAGGCTGGTATCTCCTTACCAGACTTTCGTCAAGACTGTCAAGGAACAGCGCAAGGCTGAGTTCGAGAAGCGCCAGAAGATTGCACAGAAGGAACTTGAGAGCAAGAAGGCTGCTCGCGTGAAGGAAGTCAAGGAGCGTATCGCCAGGGAGAAGAAGGAACGCGAGGAGGCCGAACGCCGCCAGCGTGAGGAGGAAGAGCGTGAGAGGGAAGAAGCCGAGGCCAAGGCCAAGGCTGCGGAGGAGAAGGCGGCCCATATTGCCGAATTGAAGGCAAAGAGGGAGCAAGAACGAGCGTCAGTATTGCCCGTTGCACTTATCCAGTCACACACTAACATTTCACAGGGCCGCTGATGAAGTAGCACGTCTCCAGCGTCAACGCGAGGAAGAGGCGTTGGCAAGGCGGAAGGCTGGTGCTGGTGCCCCCCGTGCTGTTCCAGACCGAACCTTCTCTCGCGAGCCAGCTGCTGAGCCTTCTTCGGCTTCTGGCCCACCAAAGATCGCCCTTCCTGGCGGCAAGCCCAGCTGGCGTGAGCGCGAGGCCATGAAGGCCGCTGGACAGGCTCCTCCCCCTGCCAGCACATCACCAGCACCTGCTCCTGCAGCCACCTCTCCCGCCCCCGAGGCCGAAGCTTCCAAGAGGAGTGGATACGTCCCCCCAGCTCTCCGCCAAGGAGGTGCTCCTGGAGGTGGATGGCGCGAACGTGAGGCTAGCGGCAGCGGTCGGGCACCTCCTGCCCGTGCCGAGCGTCCTGAACGCACCGAATCTCCTGCTACAGGCGGTCGCTACGAGGCTGCTCGTGGAGGAGACCGATGGGGGTCAGACAGGAAGCCTGCATCCCCCGCTAACGCCGGTGGCTATGTTCCCCCCGGTGCTCGCGGCGGCGCACCACCCCGTGAGGGGGAGGGGGAACGACCTCCTGCGCAAGCACCAGCTGGTGGAAAGTACGTTCCTCGTCACTTGAGGGACAGGCAGTAGAGTTGGTACATATGACACGAACGACCAGTACAGAAGAAGACCAAAAGCAAGGCGTCCCGTTTCTTTTTCCTTTCCTTTCTCACTACGATTGACGACATGGTCAACGATGGGGGGTTATATAGGAAGGGAAGATATGATGGCATAGGAAGCGGGGGGCGTTTTTGCTTGTTCTTCCTATTTTCTTTCTTACCCTTTTTCCAGAGCTGGGCGGTAACGAATATGGACCTACAGTGTGTAGTCTTCATGAATGCAGTTTTTGATTGTTCATATGTTCAGAATTATGGTTCACTTGTGTATGTGTGTATGTGTGGTTTTGTGGTTGGTATGGGTTGTGTGGTTTGGGCAGGTACATGCCTAGGTATGTTTTGACTTTGGATTCGATACACATCCATCTACCCCGCATCTATATTCCCACAAAATCCGTAGCACACAACACCTTCAACATGCGACTCATACAATTCTTTGACAACGGTGATTACTGCCTTACGAGTCGCCCTTCAGAGATCTCTCCAGAGCCTCTAGATGACAAGCCATTCTATGGCATCCTTTCGCACAGATGGGGTCCTGCCGGAGATGAGATCACGTTTCAAGAACTGATGGATGGTAAACGCAGATCTATACGCGAAAGCGACCTTGCGCGTGTTGGATTTCGCAAGCTTCAATTCTGCCAGCAGCGGGCTGCCAAGGAAGGCCTTCGTTACTTCTGGATAGACACATGCTGCATCAACAAGCAAGATCAGTCTGAGCTGTCGTATGCACTAAACTCCATGTTCCACTGGTACAAACAGGCGCTTCGATGCTACGTCTACATGAGCGATGTCGCATGCACAACAGGTGGAGAAGCTGTTCAAAATATGACATTCGAAAACAGTCAGTGGTTCAAACGTGGTTGGACACTGCAAGAGTTGATAGCGCCAACGTCCGTTGTGTTTTACTCTCGCGAGGGGACGTACATTGGTAGCAAGAGAAGTCTTGAGAAGGAAATCCATCAAATCACCAAGATCCCCGTCAAAGCTCTCCGAGACAGCAGCTCCTTGAGCACCTTCAGTGCAGAAGAACGCTTCAAATGGACGCACGGTCGGAAAACAACACGGCCAGAGGACATGGCATACTGTCTACTTGGCATCTACGACGTCTGGATGACGCCCATATATGCCGACGGAGATTGGCAAACGCTGAAAAGCAGGGCGATTGAGAAGCTGAAGAGCGAGATTAAAGATAAGAGAGGGAAAGAAGAAGTCGTCGTCATTGGTGGTGCGTCATGGAGTGATTTGTCGGCGATTAGCGACCACAGACTACCGGAGCTGGATCAGGATATTCGTGAATACACAGCTTGGCTGCTCCAGCAAGGGTACTCCCCAACGACAAGCCACCTTACCGAGACGTCGACCAATGCAGGCCGGAAAATGAGGGAATTACTTGGTAAATACGATGTGGACTATAATGATGATTCGGGTCTGCATGGAAGGATTACGACGTGGCAGGAGCCTTGGAGTCGATTTCTCCATCACAAGTCGAGTTTTGAAAGAGTGAGGGGGTTTTTGGATAATCGGTGGTGGATTGGCAATGGTTCGGAAGATTGCCATACTGGAATTATGGCGGCCAAGACATTGATGGGGTTGATACTGTGGAGGGATATAAAGGACTTGAGACAGTCGTTATAGATCTAGTTTTAATTTTTTCAATGATGTAAGTTTTGTAATTTGCTTGTAGATGTGTGTATGTGTGTATGTGTGTTTTTGTAGTTGTTATAGGTTGTGTAGCTTAAGCAGGTACGTATCTGGATACGTTCTGATGAGCTTGCGACGTGCATCCAGGCATGGGTTCTTGTTCGATGCTCCCATCTCGCCGACGGCGCTTGGTTCTTGTCTAGGGATAGTATGATCTCATGGGTAACCTAGATGATATCTAGGGTCTTCGTGTCTTACTGAATCAGCTTCCCTATCGATGTGCTTCATCCCCTAAGCGAACAAGTAAGAATTAAGCGTCGAGTTTCAACAGTCAGCGAGTGTTCATTGAACATCGCTTGCACTTACCAAATGTCTGACTAAAGATGTGTTTGCGATGCTACTGTAAGTTCATAAACAGAGCTTCTTCGATCAGCATAGAAAAAGACATTGTATATTGTACAAATAAGATTCTCCGATCATTACAAGCCCTCAATACAGACTGGTGTATTGTAGAGGAGGATCACGTAGTCCCTTAGACCGAAATATATAGTCTGAGTATCATCTCATGTCGAATCAATCATCCTTTTACTTACATCTCTTCTCCGCTTTTAACAATGCTGAAGCTTGAGGCAGGTAGGTCCTCGAGATACCGATACCTTGGCTCCTTCCCGTATCTCGTCCGCTCCCATACATCATAGACATTTGCAATATCAGGGTCGATCGCGTCAAAGAGCATCGTCGGCCAATCGCGACCGAAGCTATGACAGGCACAGTGAGCTTTCAACAGGTTATGCTCAGTGTATCCTACCGCGAGATCTCTACCTCCTTCTAACTGCTCCCGCAAAGTCTCCATGGAAAAGTACTGAGACGTCCAGCCAAGTCCGTCCTTCAGACGTCGATACGACAGCAGCTCTGCTAGAACTGAAGACCATAACGCACCGAGATCCCTTTGCTCAACGAAACAGGGCGAACGAATGTCAAGCATGTCGTGTATCTCTTTTAGCTGATTGTCCGGCTTAGTCGAACCCATAAAATGGGCGTCTCTACCTTGCTCAGCGGATCGCATGCAATTGCAGTCACCAAGTGACTCTAAGTTGTATCCATCCTTGCCGACCTGCTTGAGGTGCGCTGCCTCACAACGATGTAGTATGCCAGCCAGTACAATCCACCCTGTTTTGATTTTGGTGTTCCAAATTCCGAATACTGGCATAGCCATAATCTCCTCTGCAAGCTCGGCAGCCGTAAGCTCTACGTGGTCGCACTCGACGAATGAGTCAAGTGATAGCAACGCAGTGACTGAAACATCTGCTCTTACGGAAGGGTTGAACCCATGGAAGATAAGGCAGAGAGCGCATGCTAGAATACCAAAAAGATCCTCGCCATCCATTCCTTGGGTAGCGAGATGATATCCCGTCATCACTAGACTATGCAAAGGCTGCAGTTGCAATTTCTTGCCACAGCCAGTGCCAAAACACCGCCGAATATACAATCCACTGGGTGTCTCTAGCAACAGGCGTTGTGGCATGCGGTCGAACAGTTGCTCAATGCAATGGCATACCGCCTGGATTGAAGTATTGCAGAATTTATGTTTCCAGTTGACGGGTATCGATATACGACCGCGTGCATAAAGCTGACGTATGCAAAGGGAGTCCGCATCCCAACGACCACAGATATCGACCTCTTCTCCAACGAACCGAGCGACATCCTTGAAATCCTCGTCCACGACAACAGGTTTTGCGCTTGTGTGAGACTTGATGATTGTAATCATTAGGTTATCCAATATGGTATGCCCATGTTCGTTCAGGTACGTCTTACGGCTCTCGACTCCGTTAATTCCATGAGGCCAACGTGCGAGCTGGTAGACCACATCGCAACAAGATTTAGACCCATCGAGGAAACTGGTCGCCAGATGAAACGGATACAGTGGTGATGGATCGATGTTCTTATCTTTCAACTGGCGCAATACGTTCTCAATCTGGTCAAGATTCCGACTCATTATGCTGAAACCAAGAGACTCAAGGAGCAATTCGTTGGAGCGTTCCTCGTCTGCAGCTTTTGCGATTGCTGGAATGGCAACAGGGAGATCTGTGGCAGAGGTGGTACTAAAATCATTGTGTTCAAGCGCATTCCGCAAATGACACTGAAAGGAAGGTTGCTGCTTGTTCGGCGACCATTGTGGCCAAAAGGTATCGTCATCAGGGTCGAGATTGTCTTCCGGGTCGAGATCGCCGTCCGATATGGATTCTAAATCCTCCTCATGCGCATGAATGTACCATCGGCAAAGATCCGTGGGCGGCGTCAGTTCATCGTTGTTGTGTAGTGTGGACGGGTATATCACATCCTGGGGTGTTGCGGGAAGATTAGATGGGGCAGTAAAAAGGTATTGGTTGAATTTCAAAAGCTCCGCTGTCCACGTCCTTGGCCCTTTGCCCCAGTGTTTGGCGGTCTTAAAACAAAAGAACCAATATTGGTACAGCCAGTCGGACAGGGTCCTACTATATGATCAACATATCAACATATCAACAGGGTATGCCCTTCTTCTTACCTTCTCTCCTCCCCATTCAGGAGATTCAAAAGCTTCTCATGTTGACCTTGCGCAAACATACAGGCTCTATCAACCATCAGGGAATCTTTCGCGATCTGGGTTGTCGGTGAAGGTGCATTATTTGGGGACGCGGCCGATGTGGGAGTAGTGACTTCCATCATGCTGCATGACGTTGGCTGGTCAAATGGCGATGAATGATCGAAAGATCGTACGTATAATTGACGCATAGCAGCGTAAGGTAGATTCCACTTGAGGAAACTTTCACGTCAGCATAACGTTATCTGACTTCAGCCGCTGGCTACTTACAAACTGTCGGTGAATGGCAGCACACGTCCGTTTACAGTCGCAATCACGTTGCGATTCAGGGAGATTAGCCTTGTCGCTTCTCGCATTTGATCTTTTATTGCCCGTCTTACTTTCTGACCTTCAACTTGCTTCCCATTGATGAATACTCGAGTGCAAGGTTTGCCCACTGCGGCACGACCCTTGTAATGCTTCACGACTGTGGTAATATTATTCTTGCGAACATTTTTTGACCATCCCCATTTCTTGAATTGAGCTTTGTATTGGCTGGCACTAAACGAAAGACATGTCAGCTGATGGACTCTCTTACCTACAATGGAAACAGATATAGCTGACTTACACCCGGTGGAAGTTGTGCTTAGTCCTCATTTCTTGGACAATGTCATCGAGCTTCCATCTTTCCGTCAACCAGAGGAACTCTAATATCAACCTTACACCTTCCCAAGGATCCATGAAACGTGATGCAGCCTGAGTTATTACCGACAAACACATGCAGATGCGACAATCAAGCCGCGCGCGAACAAGGGCGATATAAATGGAATAGGAAGCGCGACTTGACTACGGAAAAGAGGCTGTCGAAACCTTGGGTTTGCTGCACTGGGGCAGGCTGGCTTATGCTCTTATGGCATTCTGGTACCCTGTCTAAAATGTTTGACACGTGCCACTGCCAAGGTGAACAAAAGTTCGACAGCCAACAGAAAGACGTTTCCTGGCGCATATTCTTTGTGGCGTTGCGCAGGCCGACGGTACACCGATGCCTTGTCGCCTGCAATCAGCCCTCCATTCTGAAACCAACGCCGATCGGCCGCCATGCCAAGCCGAACAAAGGTTCACTGGCCAATAGGCATGATGCGGACGTAACCGGCCCTTGGGAGCCGACGCGTAGAACGCCTCGCGACGCAACACGACGTTAGCCACCGCGTCGTGGCACACTGCGCATCAGTGCCTGCCCAGCACTTCGAAGCGCTCTATCATCGACCGTCACCGGAGCTTAATCATGAGTGTCACGAGCCAAAGAGATAAGCATCGCCATCCTTCGCCTGACGAATAGCAGACCTCATTACCTGCCTCAAATGCATCCTTTCGATATTTCTGATGAGATGATGAAAAGTCCATTCACTACGATAGATACGTGTCGATCAGGGCGAAGCTTGTGAAAGCTTAGTATTGACCCCGGCCACTCCCAGACTGCGATCCCGGCGCACGATCCGAATGCCAAGTTAAACAAAAGTTGTCTGTCCAATGTAAGGCTTGGGGTGTTTTGGCTTTTTTGCAAGGGGGGTTCTACCAAGATGAACAAAAGTCGACAGACCAATATCTTTCAAGCAACATCGGGCTCTTGCCGTTTTGGACAGCGGGACCATAATGCGAGACATCAACCAACCTAACCAGAGTGTGTTAACACATCATGACCCATGTCACTCTGAATGCAGATCGCATACTCAGACCTTCACCAAGGCTTGCTCCAAAATTGAGAGTCTGACCTGCCCTTGACACGCATTTCCTTCTCACCCTTAAGATGTATAAAGACATCTTCTCCTTCTGCTGCCTTTTCCCCTCCAGTCATCCTATCATCTTTGACACATTCAAGCCTGCATCTCTTTCTCTCTCAACGTCGCAGTCTCGATTTCCCCTTACAACATGCCTCAACAACAAGTTTCGTCGTTAGTCGACCCTCGTCGTTGACAAGCACACTGCCTTATCTTCCTGACCAATGCATAGTGGTGCTACCAACTCACCTCAACAGAGGTCATCCGATACCGTCACACTCTGCCCACATCATATCAGCGTCTTGTCCTCGACCTCCAGCACGTACGCAAGCAATATGAATCCGATGGACCGCTTCCTAGCCGAGGGGCCCGCCGAGCAAAGTGCCATGTTCATCCGTCATGACAACGGCGAGCCATCGACGAAGAGGAACTGCACATGCCAAAGAGCACATAATGCGAAGATGTGAGGGTTGGAGATCAGTCGCTACTCGAATCGATAAGCATACCATACAACTGCCCTATGTCATCGCGAAACATGTTCAAGGACACACAAACGGGGTATGCATGTGCCTGATAGGCCGAGTATTGGTGGACAGATGGCGAGATGTAAGGATAGAAGTGATAGGGTGAGATTAGATGGATAAAGATACGAGAAGGAACTTATCCTAGAGTAATCAGCAAATTGTTTCAATGCCGCAGCCACATGTCTCAAGCTAGTTGTTGGTTCTTGAGCTCACTAGAGTATTGCTCTAACTTCTCTTCATCTCGCTTTAGCATAGCATTGCTACAGCTCTCACGATCAAAGTTATCTGGCCAGCCATGACTCAGCATCAGTGCGTGCAGTTCCTAGAGAGAAGATGGTAAGTCAGCCTGCTGTCCATCGAAAAAGGCGGAAGTCTATCCGAACCTTGTATTCGTCGCCAAAACTGTCAGCATGCACTGGTCCCCTACCATTGGTCTGGTCGATCAAATGCAGCTGCGCATAATCATTCTTCCATTCGTTGAGTATGTCGCTGAGACGCGCAGTGCTTCCAGGGTTTGCGCGTTCATTGCGCCAGGCTCGGGGGTCATCGGCTCCGAACACTGGGTCGTAAAGCGTTTGCATTTGGTACCTCATCGCCGTTCCTAGTTGTAGAACAAAAGAAAGATCAGTCATGGATAAAACCGCAAGGAGGCAGTTTTTGGCTAAGAACAGGTTGAAAATACCATCTGTAGTGTCGAGCATGATGTATTGCCCGTGTACTTTCCCATACGTAAGGGCAACAACCCATTCCGGAAAATCATAGTCGCGTTCACTTGTATCCGGTATCTCCCAGCAATTGATGCCAGGCTCTACTTTCTGGAAATAATCACGTCGGTAATCACATGAATATGCCGACCAAGCTAACGTGTTCCTCTCAAATGGGCCGTCCATACGAAGATATGGTAGATGCTTGAGCAATTCAATCACTGTGTCGTTCTTGTGCAGTGGGGCAAAGTTATCGCTGCTGATGTTAGGCCAGCCTCGCGCTGGCGGCTCTAAGATGTCGGATGGATCAAGCCATGGCAGTCGAGCAAGGAAGTTGTAGAAATCCAGCAGTGCAGTAGCCACTTCGGTCTGAAGGTCAGGGGCTGCTAAGACTTGATTTGAGAAGGATGCCGACATTGTTTTATTGTAGGCGCGCGCCTTATCTGTCTGGAGAGCTGGACGGTGCCGGTCCCTATTGCGTTGTAGAGGGTGAACGTGGAAGTCAAAATGAAGGAATCAAGAGTAGACAGGCAATGCGTGGATGAATGACGAGGCTGGAGAATGGAAGTAAGGGGGTTAAGCTCAGGCCCAAGGTAGCGTCAAGCATGGTCTGCTAGCAATCATTTACTACGAACCATACAGACGTGCTTACGATCATTTCAGACGCGCAAGTTTGATTTCAATGCTACTTGAAACAAAACGACGTATAAAAGTGTTGAACGGTGTTCACCACGAGATGTGTTTCTTGTGTCGATTTCGAAGGTGCAATGTTGCGCGGTTTCACTAACACCAATGTGTAATAGTCTTTAGCGTATCATCTGGCTAGCGCGATCCCGGAACTTGACCTGTCAATCGATCCCTCCCTTCAAATCCTTCTGAGTGTCCCTGAAACCCAGCACGTTGACTCCAATGAGATCGCCCTCTTTGGCCCGGTATCAGTCTGGGCATTTGTTATGTTGTCATCGCACACACCACAGTACGCACTGGACGGATCGGGTTGCGCTGTCGCGACGCGTGGAGCTTGAGACATCATGGTTGTGGTCTTGTCCTCACATCGCCTTGCGCAATACACTGGGATATGGCGTTATCAAGAGAGTGACCACGAACTGTATCTATGATTGCGGTCACAAGAATTGCAGATGCGCTCAGCAGTAGATCCTTACGGCCGTTAGGTTTATATGCGCGATATTTAGCGTGGAGGATTGCAGATTACTAACTGACATGGGTAAACTGTGAACCCCGCATATTGTGCTACGAAAGATGTTGTCTTCGTTGGCTCGATCGATTTTGGATTGTTGCGTATTGGTCGCTGCGCATTAGATGATTATACGTCGCATCAACTAAGACTTGACCAGGAAGCCTTGTATCGCGCTGACGAACTTCCATCATCAATCGATCACCAAGTACAAAGCATTGCAGCACCCACATACCCAGCTGAGTTGTCAGTGGTGCTAAAGAAAGAGATGAAATAAGCCATTTTAACACACAGGTTGACGGAAGTCACTAAATACAAGGCATAATGTCACAGGTCCATCATTTCATCTTCCAGCAGATCGCTGAGCTAAGTGTCGACCATTTAGCGACCTAGACTGCCATCACTACACTACAAAGACGAGGGCTTTCCAAAATCCACGGCTCTATTCTCCTTGACCCATATTTTCTCTTCCTCGCTTCCGAACGCTGGAGGAAAGATTCCATTGATCTTCCAAAGTCTTCTCTCCGTCTCATCGATATGAAACTCATAATTGTAACCCTTGTCACCACAGTGTTTTTTCAAAACGGCATCTACGCCGTTTGCGGCCCCCTTGTAGACTTTGTCTTCGTCTGGAAGCCTTACAGCAATGTGCTCGACGACAACGCGGATGGAAGGTGTATCCTGTTTGCCGACTTGCTTGCCTCCAATGAACATGCTGTTTTTGGGCACTTTAATGAAGTTTGTGACAACGTAAAAGGCTGGAAGACCGATGTTGGTGTATTGCGTGATGCTGTCTGCTGCGAGAGCTTCTTTGGACGCATCGTCCTCGAATGTTCCTTCCGGATGGTAGATGACCCAGAGTGGCATTTTGATGGAGTTCGAAAGTTGATGGGAAGGTTGATTGGAAAGCAGAGCTGGGATTACTGTTGAGCAGTGGTGAGGAAGGTCGTTATTCGGGTTGATGCCTCTGATATAGATCAATATTGGTCAACAACATCTAGGCCTCTCCGCTTCTTACGTACGTAACAAACCTGCTAAAGCACGACGGCCGATCATTACGGGCCTTCCGCAGCCTAATAATACCCACGTGTCCTTGGCGTTGTCGGAGCCAAGGTGGTGAATTGAGAGAGATTAACCTTGGAACCCACCGCAAGCTCTCCCGAGACGACAGACCTAATACTATCAGGTTACGTGCGTTACAAATTGAGCTAATGATCCTGATCATTGGTCTGCTAGTCCCTAGTCTGGAAAGATAGGCATACAAGAAACACTAAATCAAGCTAACGCGTCATGTTTAATAATCGAGGAAACCCACACGTCAACCTACCTAGCCAGCTACGCTCGGCTTTGCCATCACGCCGTGTATTCTCTGCACCATTGTTGCATTCGGAACGGACATAATTATGACCTGACTCCGTCCGTAGGCTGACAAAACACGCATGGCTGAGATTGCTTACAATTTCGTATTTGAGAGAACAAGTCACTACATGTACCCCTACAGTTTGGAAATACAATGAATATAAAAGGATCTTGATATTCTTTGAACAAACAGCAAATACCTACAACTGACACCTCCAACAATCAATAAAACCATTCGTCACCACTGTCTTGACCATGTCTCAATCTCTTGTCTTCATTACCGGGTCGACAGGCTTCATTGGGTCTCATGTCGTTATCCAAACGCTCGAAGCAGGCTACAAGGTTCGCCTAAGCGTGCGCAAGGAATCTCAAATTGAAGGTCTCAAGAAGCTCTTCTCCAAGCATATCAGCAACGTCGACTTTGTCGTCATTCCGGATCTGTCTGTCTCAAGCGCTTTCGACAGTGCCTTGAAAGATGTCGATTACGTCCTACATCTCGCTTCACCGATGCCTGGAAAAGGTGAAGACTTCAAGAAAGAGTACCTCCAACCTGCGGTGCAAGGTACAACATCGGTCTTAAATGCCGCAAAGAAGTTCAGCACCATCAAACGCGTCGTCATCGTGTCATCGATACTTGCCTTGGTTCAACTAGATGCGCTGACAGGAGGCAAGTTTGAACCAAGAGGTACGTTTCCATTCCATGAACATGGTCTATCCTTTCTATGTGCATTCGGCCTGGTGACAGATATCTGACATCCTTGCAGAAGGGCGAAATCAGGAGATCTCCGTGGATCCCAACATGGAATTTCCCGCGGATCCGATGGCCAGCGGAGGAGCAAAGTATCACGCCTCTAAGCTTCTAGCCCATCGAGCCACCCTCGAATGGGTTGCAGAGAACAAGCCCCATTTTGTTGTCATCACCCTACATCCCTCCTTCGTCTTTGGTCGCAACCTCGGCCAGACATCTCCTGACGGAGTGGATGGTACTAATGCCATGCTTTGGGGTTGCCTCTACTCCGAAAAGCCCTTCATCCCCGCAGTTGGAGTAGATGTCCGAGACGTTGCACTTGCACACGTTCGCGCCTTGGAGACGAAGCTTGATGGCAAAAATGAAGTTCAAGAGTTTGTGTTGAGCGCTAGTGAGAAGGACGGATGGTCTTGGACCAACATAGCGAAGTTTGCACAAGAGAAATATCCTGGCTTAGGTACAAAGTTGGAAGGTTCATTTGATGCACCTCCACCTGTCGAGTCACGCCGCGCCCAGGAAATCCTAGGCATCAGGTGGAAGAGGATGGAAGACACTATCGCATCTTTCTTGGATCATCAGCTCGAGTTGAGGGCCCAGCTCTAGGCTCTGATATAATCAATGCAACAAGCTTAGCCAGATATTAGTCACCGTCATTTAACTTCACCCTTCGTTCATTCTAAGCCATATTGAGAATCTCTGTGACCTCATGAGTACGGTGTTGATGCAAGGATTGCGAACGCTGAGTTTTGATGGTAAGATGCGCCACTGGCGAACTCCTACGAGTGCTTCTGGTTATACTTTCCTCGATTCCACCCAACTTCTTCTTCTGCAGATTGCGTATTGTCGTCTTATGACCGCTGAATATTGCAGGAAAGGCCTTCAGTATCGACGGCATCATACGTTCAATATATCGTGTTGGATCTGCAGTAGCCCACTGGTCTCAACCGTGACGTGGATAAGCGTTCGGACCGTTTGTTTGCGTTGAGTTTGCTGACATTCAGCCGTAGACAAAGGCGATGTCATCGGTCACTCGATCAAGGACTGCAAGTTCATAAGGTGCCTCATGTATGAGTGGTGGAAGAGGTCGCGGCTGTTCTTGCAGCATCTCCGGTACGCTGATACTTGAATGTACGATATGACCTTGTCCATCTAGCGCGGTGATTTCGAGTGCCGCATTCTGCTCTTGGATGAAGATCGAGACTTCGGTAGCGATAGTGTCGGTGACCCGCAGCTTTACCACCCATGATAGCATGCCCATAGCGGAGCAAGTCAAACCGCCCGTATACGCCCCGCGAACGGTCAACAATTTCATGTTATATTCATTATGCCCCTTCTTTTCTAGGACGACCAAGAACCGGCCGTTACGAGATGCGGTACCCGCAAGAACGCTCGACCCAACCACACTGTCTGGCATCGGATTTATTTGTTGCTGAAGACTTTGTGGCCTATATTCGAGGGCGTCGACTGGCACGATGAAAGTCGGGGGAAGATGCGATCCTGGCTTATGATTTACCGTGCAGAGTATGTGAGGTCTGCCGATTGGCGATATTACGAACGCTGCGTTTGTTATCTCATCGCGCAAAGCCTATCTAAAGTCAGCTGGGTATCGAAGCATGTGTGAGAACTACTCACACCTCCACTACCACTAGAGTTGCAGTCGAAGTACCAACTCGGATCCAAACGAGTGGTCAACCGAGGCCATGAGCTTCGACCCACATTCCAGCAATATAATCGGTTTCCTGTCGACAAAGCAAAGGCCATAGGACCATACAGGATATCGCTACGGTGAGGCGAAAAGCCGACAACTTTGATAGCCCCAGTGTTTCTCGGACATGACAAGGTTGTGCGGTTGTTCTCCGCGTTCCAGCCTGTGGTGTACTGTGGATATGAAAGTACCGAGTTAGCGTATGTCTTATGCTCAGTTTGTATGGGTGAATCCCACCTTGTACCTGAACAACTTTACGCCGCTTTCTCCTTCCCCGCCCACTGCTACGCTCGCAGTTGCGATCCTGTCAATAGAAGGGGAGCCACTTTGCGAAATTGATACCGACCTTGGAATCCAGCATTCATCTTGATCGACGCGTTGGGCTTTCACTAAATTTGGTGTTTCGCGGCTGTATTCATCGTAGACCAACAGTTGTTTATGTGTAATTACAGCAAGCAAATCCTCTGTCAACGCGACACTTCGAATCTCCTCCTTCTTACCAAGTGGTATGCTCAGCTCGACATGAAGTGGAATTTGGCGACTTTTGTTCGCGCTCCCCACGTTGTATAGCCGTACCTGCTTTGCCGAGCAAGCAGCAACCCAGCCTGATGGCGAGATCGATGTCGCAACATCGTGAGTTCTCCGGAGAAAACGTTGTTCACTTGCCTGCAAATGAGTTTCTGTACAGTTGCCAAGTGAGGCTGTAAATATTGGGAAATTCTCTACAGCTGAAGAAGAGCGTCGCACAGACGGATACGAAGAGCTACTTGAGATAGACATCATCAAAGAGCACGAAACAAGAATATCATAATGACGAGAGAAGTGTGCAGTCAATAAGTCGTCAAGCGACGGAAAGTATGTTTGTGAAGCAGCAATAATGCCGTTGCTTCGAACGAACGGTCGGTCTGAGCCGTCACACAGGTCAGCTGGCGCCGGATATTGACTCCGATAGCTGTAGCCTGATCTTGTCTTGCATGCGCCACCGCGTCAAAAAGCATACATACAACAGATATGACACTCGGTGGTTGGGGGGCCGTGTCTCACTCATGCATACCAATAAAGCCAAGCCACAATCCCATAGGGTGTTCAGCCATATGAGGCAGCCAGAGCGTACTCTTAGAGTACGTGGGACGCGTGGCTGTACTGCTGAACGTTATCGCAGAGCGCGCGACGCTGGATGTGGCGCTCTTGACGCTATTTTATAGCCTCGCGACTGTATTGAAGCACCTGAGCTAACATCTGACAGCCTTTCTCCAGAACCGAGCTCATTCTGTCTAATTCTATACTGCGAGGGGGCGAACACTACACACCTTTGATAACACCGTTGAGTTCGGAAGGCTCCGTACCTAAGGGTGCCCCTGCATGTCCAGATCAGTACTAATACTCCTTACTCAGCTAGAAGACAAAAATCTATCATGCGCCTGCTCTGTACTCTAGCATTTCGCCACATATGTAAGAGAGCGGTCTGTGGAGACGCAGCCTCGCTGATCTTAGCCCCAAGAGCTCATCGTCTCGGCCAATCACCAAACGCCAGATGCTTCGCCTCGATCATTTCCCCACTATTCTACCGCTCGCAGGGACATGAGATATTTCCGTCACCAGAGTATACCCTTGCTGCCTAGATTTCGATCTCTACGTGTGGTTCATAGATCTGACTACGATATCTATCGCTTCCTGGTTGTCGACTTTGATGGTGGCAAAAACGCCAACTATCTCTTGTCGAAGGGGTCATCCCCTCCTAGGTCATTGTTTTCTGCATCATTTCCAAGCAGGAGTCAAGGCTGACAAGAAGCAAACCGGTATGATTTCAGCCTTGGGTACAGGGCATGCCTAAGTACATTAGGCTGGAGATGCCCAGAAGCGGGCGGCAAGAGGGCGTAGTCTACATCAAAGTGTTGCCCTTGCATTTTCGCAGCACACTAAGATTTCTAGAATATTTACATCAAACTACTAAAAGAAGAAAGAGTTTCACTTTTTGGATATTGCCAGTCTGGTACCAGTTTTGTTTAATGTAATGCCAGTCGATATGGACGAGGAGCAAAGACCGCTAGATCGATCGCCATACTATGTGACACATTCCGAACATCTTGATCGTGTGTTGAGTAGGCCTCAGCTTGCAGGTAAGTCAGTTGGCCAGTAACAGTGGAGTCCGGTCGAATAACAACACAGGTATTGGGATATCCGGTTGCATTGGCGGAGGCGTTTTCATCACGTCGGGTGGGCTGATAGCTACCACTGGGTCACTTGGGGCTGCAATCAGCTATGTAGTAGCCGGAGGGATCGTTGCTTGTGTCATGTATACCACTACTGAGATGGTAACATGCCGGCCGCTGACCGGAGCTCTCATCGATCTACCTCACACTTTCTTGGATCCTGCTAGTGGCTTTGCTATCGCATCAGTATATGGGTATGTTTTTTCATACTCAATAAGAGCAGCAGCTAACAAATCTACAGACTCAACAAGATTTTCGCCATGACTACTCTCACTGCGCTCGCGGCACAGCTCACTGTCCTCTTGAAAGATGATCAGAAGCCACATTCACCTGGCACAGAAGCCGCTATCAATATCGCCTTCATAGCCTTGACGACTTTCTCGCACTGTCTTGGGGTCAAGGTAAGCCAATGGTCAGAATACAGGAGACATGCCGCTTACTTCTTCTTAGCTATACGGTAAAATTGAACGAGTAAGTTGAGCGAAAAGAAACTCGAGGGCTTTGATCTAATAAGGTGGTTGTAGGTAGTAATGTGGTTCAAGCTGAGCCTGCTCGTGCTTGTTTGCGTCATGATGGTGGTGTTGAACTTTGGAGGTATGCATCTATGCGTACACCGACTTGCCAGTAAATTATCTAACATTGTTCAGGTGGTGGACCAAAAGAGGGAGGACTAAAAGAGGGCAAATACAACGACAGTGAGCTTCAGTCTCTTTTGGCCACGTCTTTGCGCTAATCTACGAGGCAGACTACACAGATTACGCGTTTACTCCAGGTTGGAAGCCATCCGGGTTCAACGCTACCGACGAACATCTCTCTCTTTCAAGCGTCTCTGACGTTAACCTCGGCATACCTGGGACAGGAGGTGCTTTGTTTGGATTTATGTGAGTAGCTCGAATCCGGCTGAACACAGCCAAGCTTATTGGAAACGCAGTACTTCAATCACACTTGCCATGTTCTCCTTCGGGACAGACCTGGTCGCAATGACTGCCGGGGAAGCGAAGAACCCTTGGAAGGATGTACCGGCCACAATGACCTTCGTATACGTCATTCCCGTCATCATGTATCCTTTTACAATGTTTGCTGCTGGGTCAAACGTCAACTACCGCGATCCGGACTTGTCCCAGTTGTGGACAAAAGGCAGTGGCCCAACAAGATCGCCTTTCGTGATCGCGGCTGAACATACGTCGCTCCACGCATTACCCAAAGCACTGAATGCGCTTTTCATACTCTCGGCATATACGACTGCAAACACTGATCTATATGCCGCCTCGCGGAGTGTTTTCATGCTATCCCAACAATACCTCCCACGAAAGGTCGCAAATGTATTTGGTAGGACTAACAACGGTCACACGCCGTTGGCAGCTATCTTGCTATGCTCAGCCCTCGGGTTCCTGTCACTCGTTGGATTGGCCGACAGATCGAGTTCACAACCAACTATCACACTCTCTGAGATCTACACTGGTACTGCGACCTGCATCAACATCTGCCTTTGCATCACCTTTCTGCGCTTCAAAGCTGGGCTCGATCGTCTGGCGAAGCGAAAGATTTTTGGAAGAAACCACCCACTGTACAAGTCTCGACTATTCAAGTCTCGCTGGCAACCACTTCCTGCATATATTGGTATGATAGGAAGCACATTCGTCCTTGTATGGTCCGGCATACCGCCACTTATCATTCTAATCGCTAGAGGTAATCTTTCCTCTCCTGGCAATCTGAAGTCAACCATCAGCCTGGCCTTTGACGTTATCGGAGCATATATCGGTCCTGCTATCTTCGCCTTCCTCTACCTCTCGTACAAGTTCATCTACCCACGTACGTCTCGCATCGACATTCGCAACCTCACAGTCGAAGACTATGTGTTGCAAGATCTATCAAACATCGAGCTGGAGGGCCCGACATGCGTACCGCCTGTTCCGCGACCCCGCTTCGGATCTTATGAGATGGACGGCCAGAACGATGGCATCGCCGGTCCTTCTGTCATGCTCGAAGATCCGTTCAAGGAGGATCAGTCGTACGCTGACATGAGCCCGGACATGCAAGAGGAGATCGAGGCCGAAGCTGCAAGGAGTAATGAACGAGCAAGAATTAGGCAGATTCTGGAAAGAAGGCCGGAGAGATTACGCCGCGGAGTCTGGCGAGAGATCTGGAGCTTCGTGAGGACAGACAAAGAAGAATGAGAATGAGAAAGCCGCTAGAGATGACATAAATTTACGCGCGACACCAAAACAACCATTCAATTTGCTTGCGCTCTCTGTTCGTGATGCTGTTGTAGTACCTCGGTATCCGGTGCCGCTGGATAAAACTCTCGTCGGAAAGCGAAGTCGATCAAAACTTGGATACATAATCCCATTGCCGAACATCCGATAAACTTCACCTTTTACCAAGGTACTTCCACATAGAGCTGGTTTAGTAACATTGGTATACTGTAGAAAATCTTACGCGAAACCACAGCGGAATTCTCCTGCCCTAGAATTAGGGCTGTGAGCCGTTCGTGCCGAGCCGAGTGGTGGCGTACGGTTCGTTGTGCTGACCCGCTGCGATGAAGCAGCTGAACTACCTAACTCAGGTATGATCAACAGGTTCACGGGCACTAGCAGCGTGCCCGGCTGACTGAGGAATATTGCCAGTGGCGTCCCTTTGAAGGGAGTTTGCTGGCTGTCTTCACGACAGGCTAGCTTACCTAGGTGGTTTGGTGGTTTTCAGTCCGTGGCAGAAAGGAGGCGCACGGTGGTTCGAAGCCAAACGAGCGTGCCGAGGTGGAAGAAGTGACCGCGTCACCCTACTTCTCGCCTTCGAAAACACATCTACGTCCAGACGACCTTTCCCCATCACTTGGATATGAAAGACAACGCGCGTATGCACTGCATGTAGCAAAAGATGGGCCACGAGCTGGGAAACGACATTTTGCTGAAAGTCAGCAGACTGGGAGTAGCGACGCGCCGGAAATATGCAGTCCCACCTACGCGGATGAGGACCCTTGCCTTTCCAACCCACTCTCTCCAGGTCGGCATCAATTCTCGTTTCACGCAATCAGTAAAGGCCTAGATTGAATACATCTTTCCAGAGACCATAGCAGCTTCTCGACAACCTTGTTACCGCGCTGGCCGCCACTACCGTCGACCAAATAATGGCCCCCAATGTTGCTTATTGTTCCAATGCAAAGGCGCGACCCTCGAAGATCTTATCGAATCGCGTGGCGACTATCTACCGGACGTGCACCCGAATCAGACATTCCCGGTGATAGTGACAAGTGGCGCGCTTGGAACATACATAGGTAAGCTCAATTGGGCAACAATGGAAGCTCAGATGCGGTGTCTAGCCCCCAAGCGAGTTCCAACGCTTCTTGATGTGGACCGAACTTCGGCGATGGCGATTCGTCCATGTTACACGAAGCTCTGCCAGTGTGGAGTGTCTCAAATTATTTGACATTTACTGTGCCTTCCTTCGAATGGTCCAGTGATTACTTTCGCAAGAACAAAGTATGCTAGAGTCGACTTTTCTGCTTGCATTCATAAGCTGCCTTTGCTACTTATCTTGGCATACATGTATCCATATCTTTCAGTCAGAGTTATGGAAGAGCTTTTTCACGTTTGGGAAGTCTATGCTGGTAGAACTTGGCCTCAAGGAACCACAGCTACCGATCCCATCCGCAAGTGCCACGTCGACCAACAGAGCGTATCCTCGCCTGGCTCGCCGTCCATTCTCGATCAAAACCGAATATGATGTGGTGGTCGTTGGCTCAGGATATGGCGGTGGCGTTGCAGCGTCACGCATGGTAAGAGCCGGGAAAAGCGTTTGTGTGCTAGAACTTGGCAAAGAAATCTGGCCCGGAGAGTATCCCCATACGTTCAAAGACGCCATGCGAGAATATAACTTAAGGGGCAAGATACTCGGTAGAATGATTAGTATCGGCAAGGCAGCAGGGTTGTACCATACTGTCAAAGGGGAAGGGCAGGATGTATTCGTAGGCTGTGGTCTGGGGGGAACGAGCTTGATCAATGCTGGTGTTTTTCTCAAGCCAGACGAAAGATTGCTGGAAGCAGCAGAGTGGCCGGAGGAGATTAGAGGGAACCCTGCAGGCCTCGAGCAATGTGAGTACTGAAAGGTCATGAACGGAAAAGTGCTGATGCTGACGCTTCAATGTAGTCTACATGAGTGCCGAGCGCATGCTCCAACCGACAGCATTCCCAACAAGATACCCAAAACCACGCAAACTAGCCGTCTTTGAACGGCAAGCCGATAGTCTTGGCTTGCAAGACAACTTTTACCGCCCTCCGTTGACGACAACCTTCTGCTCCAGCACCAACCAAGCTGGGATACACATGAGCGAAAGTACGGGTTCTGGCAACGAGTGCACAGGTGTCAATGATGGTTCAAAGAATTCAGTACTTGTAACTTACCTGTATGATGCTTGGACAAGAGGCGCCGAACTCTTCTGTGGAATTGATGTCAGACATGTGAAAAAGGAGGGTCGAGGCAAAGGGTACATAGTATTCTACAACGTGTCCAATGGGAGAGGAGGAAAGACAAAGAGATGGGTCAGAGCCGTAAGTGTGAGGTTTTTCGAGTATAGCTCACGCTAACGCGACACAGCGGGAGGTTGTCTTCCTTGGAGCCGGTGCGCTCGGGACCACGGAGGTACTGCTGCGGTCGCAACGTTATGGCCTCCATACATCACCTTTGTTGGGTCAAAGGTTCACAGGCAACGGCGACATGTTGGCTTTTGCATATGATTGCGAGCACGACGTCGGTAGCCTTGGCCATGAAGCCCTGGGTAAAATGAGTTCCGATTCATGCGGCCCAACAATTACTGCATGCATCGACATGAGAGGCTCCACACACGCCAGAAATGTACGGGACGGGTATATCATTCAAGACGGCGCGATCCCTGAAGCTCTAGCGCCAGTCATTCAAAGCTTGCTCGAAACCCAAACCACCGCTGTGCTGTCTCGATCATCCAGCACTAGAGGTAATCTGCTGGCCAGGTTGAAGAATTGGATCCTTGGACCATATGCTAGAGGTGGCAGCGTGAACCGCACGCTAGTGTATCTTACCATGTCCCACGACGAAAAGGAAGGGCAGATGGTACTCGAAGAAGATGCAGTAGTTCTGCGATGGTCGGGCATAGGGAGCCAGAAGCGGAGTGCACATCTTGACAGCGTTCTTCTTGAGATGACTGAGAACCTTGGCGGCAAACTCGTCAAGGCTCCATGTATTACTGTTCACCCGCTCGGAGGTGCGGTCATGAGTAATGACGGAACTGGTCTTGGGGGCGTGGTCAATCATCGCGGCCAGCTTCTTGTTGGAATAGGACATGAAGTATACGAGGGGATTGTCTGCGTAGACGGTTCAATCATCCCAACATCACTCGGTAAGTCGCTTCGTGAAAGCATGCAAACTGGTTCAATGACAGCTAATGGTAGTTTCAAGGTGTGAATCCATGCGCTACAATCACCGCACTGGCTGAGCGAAGCTGTGACCTGATCGCCCAAGAACGTGGTTGGAAACCCGACCATAGTTCAGATGGTAGACTAAGTCCCTCGAAAGATCCGCTCGTACCTGTACTACCAGAATCCACAAAGATTATCAGACTTAATACCATCGAGGATTCGATCGAAGGCATCCGATTTGAGGAAGTCATGCGAGGTCATATTCACCTCGGCAACCACGTCTCAGACTTTAATGACGCGGAAAAGGTTGCTAGGGAGGCTTCAAGCTCAGCTCAGCTCGCACTCACAGTGGACGCACGCCGCAACCGAAATGGCTCATATCAGGGTGTGCCATTTGGCACATTTGCTTGCGGCGCATTATCGCAAGACCCGCTCATGGTTACTGGTGGCACAGTCGAGTTCTTTACAATTGACGAGGAAGTCGCAGATGCAGTCAATCTCGTGTACAAGGTAGACCTCTTGAGTACAGATGGTGCGAGATACGGCTTTCACGGTTACAAAAGACTCAATTCGGCTGCTGCATTCTCGGTCCCGAGAACTTGGGGCGCGACAACAACTTTATACACAACAATCACTGGATACGACGGCGTTGTGGTCGGCCGAGGTATCTTACACTTGTCACTCCACGACTTTGTCTCGGAACTTCAGTCCCTACGATCTCGTACAACTATCAGTGGCATGAGCAACATGCAAGCGCAGGCTCGGTTCCTCAAGTTTTTCACGGCTAACATCGCGTCGTACATGTTCAGTCCCTTTCGCCGACTTCAGTATCCAACACCGTCCACCGGGAAATCGGGCTACTTTGACAAGCCAGTTCCTACTGTGACGATGCTCACAGCCGACGATGGGGTCAGGTTTCCCATCAAGTTGTGGCAGCCTCCATCTGGCACACAAGAGAAGCATACGCCGATCGTATTCATCCCTGGTGCATCTGTAGACGATCAAATGTTTTCCTTGCCAACTGTACCCACGAACACCATTGATTACTTTACCTCACTTGGCTACCGGTGTTACGTCCCCATTCTCCGTTTTGGGATCGGAGAAGAAGCTAAAAAGGGCGATACTGTATACGATGCTCGGTTGGACGTTCGAGCTGCCATGCAATACGTTCGAGAGATGGAACGAGAGAGAAAGATCTACGCCGTTGTTCATTGCTTGGGGAGCATAGCAACAGGCATTGCTTTGCTCGAAGGCGACGTGGAAGCTTCTTGGTTGAAAGGAATGACATGTAGTCAAGTATTCACCAACCTACTTTTCAGCCCGGACAACGATTTCAAGGCGCGGCATCCCATTCTCATAAAGGCATATGAAGTAAGTCCTGTCTTCTCCATCTACCAAATTTCTCTGCTTACAGCCGGGTAGACATTAGCATGCTCCTGGTTTCCGTGCCACTCTTCTTCGTCCTCGCCATGGGTGCAGTTCCTGCTGGATCAGATACTACGTTTCTACCCCGTAGGCACCAGAAGCGAGATTTGCAACTCTGCGGTCTGTCACAGGTGCGACGTTCCTTTTGGCCGCTGTTGGACGCACGCCAACCTCAACCACGCCACACATGAGCATCTTGGTCATTGGTTCGATGGCATCCACATCAACTTCCTCTCGCACTTATCGAATATGGGTGCTATGCCACCTCATCACGTTCGCAGCAATAGGCCCATGTTTGAGGATCTGCTTACCCAAACGAATCTAGGGAGATTGAAGGGATTGAGTATTTGCTTGCTGAGTGGGGCTGAGAATGCTGTTTGGAGCCAGCAAAGCACGAAAAGTAGCTATAATTTGTTAAGAGAATGTTTTCCGGAGGTAAAGTACGAAAGGGTTGTTGTGAATGGTTATGGGCATCTGGATTGTTGGATGGGAAAGCATGCGCATGTTGACGTCTTCCCGAGGGTCGCGAGGCATTTGGCAGCCTGTGAGGAGGCAGAAGAGGGCTACGAGACGACGTTGATCGGTAAGGGCTATGAAGAGGACGGATACGTGAACGTGGCGGCGGAGGGCGACAACAGGTAGGTAAAGATTGGTGTGTTCCATGGAGGAAGTTTTGCGATCACTACAAACATAGCTGTGTTTCTGACCTTTTATACTGAACACGGATGGTAAACTACCTTGTGGCTCAGCAGCGACAGTAAGCAGGCCTCGTCGCGACATGCCATTGTATTTGGGTAGTTTCCGCGTTTAGTTGTATGTGTGAAGAACTGGCTATCATGTTAGGGATTAAGCCAATCAATCCGCTGTCTGAGTGACCAAATATGTACACGATTTACAGTAAGCAGCTAGACCAATTACTGGTCGAAGAGGGGCAAGCCACGCTGTGGACGCCTATCTGCCCCACTCTGTTTTGCCATAACTAGATACGAGCAATGTGGCGTTCTACTGACTTTCCAACATGGTCTGCGATTGTTCAACGACGAAAAGTACGAAGATCATAAGGAGCTCACTACAAACTTCCGTCTTGCAAGAGCTTCCCGATCGCCCGTTCTTACACACAATGCCAGATTCATGGCCGATCAGCTGCAAGGCTGAATGTGACACGGCTGCACGATGTGCATGAACACGGGTTGCCTTGCGAGGCGAAGGGGTAACAATATTTCAAGCCTATGAAGGCGTCTGATACCCGCTCTTAGTCTACAGTTTAAAAGACGGCCCTTCTACCTACAGCGCCTAGACAGGCGATCTGGCTCAACAATGCTACCTGTGTAATATACTTCGTCAGTATTGCAGATATACATAAGCGCATCCCCGCATCATGTAAGCTCACCCATCTACTACCGTTGTGCCGTTACTTATACGCAATGGAGTTGTCGGCTATCAGGTTCCTGAGAATGGAAACATCCGCGGATGTTGCGACATGGCTTTCGTTTGTGGTCACCGCCGTCGGATTGGGTGGGCTCTTGTCACAGGCTAGCGCTATTAATGAGAAGCTCGATCCTTTCCATAGCCATCGCACCCCAGCATACCTAGGCTTCTGGTATGGCCATCAGGAAAAAGCGTCATGGTGGACTGTGAGGAAGCCGCCTTTGTACGGTCCCGTTCTAGTTGCAAATCTGGAGACCGGTTTCTGTGGGAGACAAACTATCCATCTGACGCGCTTACCCCTGTTCACACCTCCCGGAAAGGCAGGATGGGCACTCATTCTGGCCATCTTTCATCCAGAGAAGCTTCTTTCGCTTAGATCAACAAGTCTGCAAATAGACGAAGCAGAGAAAGCCACAGGGCGCATTCACGAAAAGAGTGTCATCACAACCGAAGATAATACACACGAAACGAGAGATAGGCGCACGCAATGGAAGTCTTTGGAGAGGATGCCACTCTCTCGCTACCAAGCACACGCTTGTGTATCCATCTCGCGAACGACACTCATAACGATGCTGGTGCTAACGAACGCAAGAGCTGCCTTCTCGTACAGCGATGCCTCTGGTTTCCGAGCCGGGTACGCTTCGTACAATGGGCAGTGGTACATTACTTGGCCGATCGGTCAAGATGCAGTCGTGCAATTCTCACCTCATGATTCGCACAAGAAATCTACCGATGTATACCCTCCAAGCTTCATGCAGCGTACAAACCGTTGCACACAAATGGTAGCCGGAGTCATCGCAGCCCCTTCTGGCGTACAATTCGCGTTTTGTGGCCGCAAGCCACCTGGCACTTACGTTTTGGAATATGCTGTAAAGGGATTTCCTGGTGCGCACGGGTCTCGGCATTTGTATAACATGCTGGGAGGAAAAGTGTACGAAGTTGACTATATCTTCGCTCGAGAGTCGAACCAAAGATCTGGAGATTGGCTGGAGCTCAAAGTTCCGAGCACAGATCCCCTGAAAGAGACATTTTTCCTGGCTCCCGAAAGAGAGCAAGAGGCGATTGCACAAGCACTAGACTGTCTTCCTTGGAACCATCTTTCATGGAGCATACATCGTGGGATGCGTGATATCCTCCTAGCGTACTCGAGGCCCACTATGGACCGATTCAGATCCCAACTTGCCGATCTTCTTAAGCGGACTGTCTCCTCTTCGCCGCATCTTCTCGAACGCAAAGGATGGGAAGGTAATTTCGTCCGCAATAGCATGGGCGAAATGGCAGCATCGGCTGTTCTTCTTGGAAAGGGTAATTCTGGCGATCTTGTACGCGTTGTGACGGACATAACACTTGCACTGGTTGATGGTTGGAGCATGGATCAACTGGACGAAGTTCATTTCTGGCGTCTACCGGATGAGGACAAGGAGCTCAATCTTGTAGGAGTTGTCGCACTTACCAAGATGTTTATCGTGGAGTGGAGCAACGAGTTCGACTATCAGATGTATCACGATCTGCCTGTCAACTTGAAGTTTGCGTAAATGTGCTTGGGGATTTTAGCTCGTGAAGAGTAGTAAAATCGGACGGTTGATATACCACTTTGTACTGTTCAGTGCTTGAGAAGGTAGATGAGGACTGAGACCTGCTCATGATCATCCTGTTACCACATTTTCTTCCCTAGGCCACTAAATCCCTCCTGCAAAACCTTCCTCCCAGCCAGCTCATTCGCAAACTCGAGTTTCCGCTGCAACGACCACTCTCCATGCTCATTAATCGCAAACAGCATACCAGCGATGAAAGTATCTCCAGCACCAATAGTATCCACAACCTTTGCTTGCTCATCTTTCTCAGCCTGCCACGCCTTAACATGCGCCCAAACCTCATTATCTCCCTTATGAACCGCAGCCGCGCCTCCAGATCCCCATGTACAACATAAAATTGCACCATCTCTCGTCTCATTCCTCCTATCTTCGAGAAAACTCCTCGCATCTTTATACCCATTCTTCTCGGCCCAGAGTTTCGAATAAAACACCACATCCGCATACTGCGCGACCTCAGCCATACCCGTACGCTCAGGCTTCTCGCACTCCACACTGATCTTGAAGTGTGAGTGTGGGAACATCCCGCGCAGCCAGCCGACGCACCGGAGCGTGATTTCTGGAACACGGCCTTCGAAATGGAACCACGCTCTCTTCCAATGGGGCGCCATGCCACCACAAGTAGTGAAGTCAACAACCCGATGCATAAACTCGTTGCATTGCATTTCAGGTAGCTGGTTGATACTGACAATCGTGCGCGACTGATTCTCCTCACTTTGGATAATATAGCTAGATGCCGCTTCCTGATGCTGTTTGCGAAACAGACTCACATCTGATATTTTCACTTGAGGCAGTGATTCGCAGATAAATTTCGACGCAGCAGAGTTCTCGTCAGGAAGTACGGCGAGCAGATGCAAGTCCGTAGATTGAGGTTTTCGCGCTGTCTCGGGATCATGTTGTTGTAGTTGCAATAACACTTCTAAGCTGTTTGCCGTGTTTCCGCCTCTTCTTCGTGTTATGGATTTGGCGCGTAGCTTTTCATCTTCTATGGGGAAATGGGGAACACTGGATGTTTGACGGTTAGTGGGCGCTTTGTTCTCGGCGAGGCCGCAAGGAGCAAGTACGTACGTTAGGATGGTATCGATGTAAACGGCACCGACACATACAATATGGTTTATGGCATCCTCAGACATTTTGTTGCGTATAATTATGACTGCAATTAGTTTGGAGACGGTGAAGGAAGATGATCTGTCGAAGATTAGAAGTTTGACATTGTGGAGCTCAAGTGCTAGAGGTTACGTCAAGTGTCGCGTGCGATTCCGACGCGATTGCGCGCCATCACATGTCTCACCCAACAAAATGTCAGTTCACACGCTCCAAAGGCATCCACATAGTCCACTATTTGCAAATGCATGTAAAAATTGTTAGATTCAGTCTGAAGATAAGGAGCGATCCCATTTTGTCTCTTCTCCTATCCAGTAATGAGCGAACATCCAAGCCCCCAAATTTGGTATCATTGAAATCACACTCGCTCAAACGCCAATCCCAATCAAAAGATTATGAAACCATCGACAGTGCGTGCGCTTAGTACGCATTACCGCCCCAGCCCGGTGCTTTCCCCTTGCCTTCGTGCGAGGAGTAGTATTCGTCTTGCTCCATTACTGGACTGACCGTTATAGTCCCTTCATGCGTCTGCGGTGGTCCGTACCACGCGTTACCTCCTGTTGGCACGTTGCTGTAATAGCCTCCATGCGCAGCCTCCTCACCACCAAGATTGTTGAATGCTTGTGTCCGTGGTGTCATGGGTGACTTCATGCCACCAATAGTACCGGGTGTACGAGGTAGTTGTTGAAGTTCCCACATGTGCTGCCATTGTTCCTCGGCGGTCATCTCGTTGTCGTAAGGTGAGGAAGCCCACTTCTCCTTTTCCGCTTTCTTTTCAGCTTTCCTGGCCGCGTGTGCTTGTTTTTGGGCGGTGGTCGGGATAAGGGAATAGACTGAGAGGACGACGAAGACAGCGTAGATGGCACTATAGAGCATGGTTAGCGCCTTTCCTTTCGGTTGATACAGGTGGCATGAGACTTACAGCATGATGATGCTGACGGCGAAACTGCTCTTTGCTTGCATGCAGTAACTCTTGATGTGTTTATCGTCCACGATGTTACAGCTCTTGGTTATGTACCAGGGCGCTCCATTGTTTGTGTGCTTGGGGTCGATTGTGTCGGGCGCGGTTTGGATGTGGATGCCGTAGGCCCATAGGGTCATGAGAGCGATGTGAAGGAGGAGCGATAGGATCGGGAAGAAGACCTTGAGGAGCCATAAGGTCACCTTGACAAGCCAGAAGAACATGCATACTACACCAATTACGAGGTGGTATTGGGTGTTACTGCGATGGTCAGTCTACCGCTGGATTTCGAGGTTTCGCAGAATGACAGCAAGGTCCATGGATTGTAGTTTTGGTTCTTGCACATCCGTCATCGATCTGGAAGATGCTACTCACAAGCTACTCCACACTAAAGGTGTATCCACAGGTCGATAATTCGCAGCCGCATATAGGACTGTACTTGGTTTCGAGTTGAAGCCCAACTCGCCTCCTACTCTCCACAAGATTGTGCGGTATAGATTTGGCGATGCGATGCCGAAGAGCGCAAGGTTGGCCACGGTGAATGGCAGTTCAAACACCATGAGGAAGTAGATAATTTTCGGCAGGCGCCATGATCGCGATATAAAGAAGCCCATGATGAACACCTGAGACCGTCACACTCGATGGTAGTGTCTGGTGGCTAGCGTTGCCGTATATGTGAGGCTGCGCCTGGATGGGTCGCGATTGCGGAGATAAGGTTGAACTGCGCCGGGCGCTCTTGTTGCGCTATTGTCGGCAATCCGAAGTCGATAGCTGGAGATGCTACCGAGAGCCTCTCGTGGTCGTAAGCGGTCGTCGTTCGTGCTCGAGGTTCAGACGCACAAACGAAGCATCAGCATCCAGCGTTCCGGGGCCTTCCACGCTCTTAACAGCCATGTAAGCCCCCATCTTAGCCGACGCCAGTGAGTGAACTGAGGGGCGAAAGAGGCATTGCAGGCGCTGAGTGGCACACGCATGCTGCGCGATCACACAGCTTGTAAAGTGTGATGGCGAATCAAACTCGCAGGAAGGCGCTGCATGCGGGAGCTAGACGGCTTGTTCCTTGCGCCATCCCTGCAGTTTGTACCGGAGAATGTGGGTTAATATCGACGAATCGGGTAATTCAATATAGAACTTCGAGGTAAGAGGCCGGATGAAATGGAGGGCCTTATCGCGGGGTCGCACAACATAAGCGATCGCTTGCTGTCTCGTGAAATGCTTGCGGGCCGTAGATGGCTTGAGGCACAAAAAGCGATGGTGGCCATGGTTCCCGCACTGAGTTTTGGAAGGTGGAGCTAGTCTGGTGGAGCTCGCTCGACTACCACGAGCCGTCTCGAATTTACGGCCTTTGTGGGCGCGTAAATTCCAGTTAATGGTGTGAGCATCGTACATACAACAGCGCTTGCCGCAGCGACGGCACGGTTTTCGAGTGCAAAACTTAGTATTGATCGTCTTGGACTATCCAATGGTAAATTACCTTAACCTTGCCATTACCACCACTTCTCGCACAGCACTCTCTCCGGTGCCACGTTATCCTGTTCCTTGATAAACTTCACCATGTCGTCGGTCATGTCTGGAGGCCCACACACATAAAAGACGGTAGATTGCGCTTCCTTTCTGTTGCCGACGGCGCTAGAAAGGGCAATGTCGTCAATGCGATGCGTCCAGGCACACACTGGCACTTCGGTAGCCGAGTCAATTTGCGGCAGCGTCAGAGACATGAGTGGATGTATCAAGTCACCATCATTTGTGCCCATTTCAGATCCGTCCCAAGTCCCTGTGAAGAAAAGCTCAAGGCGGTCTTTGGTCACCTTGAATCTGGGTATGCGGAAGAGGTCGAGCACATCTTGCAGGAAAAGGACTTCGCTGGGGTCGGTCTCCCGTGATGGGACTTTAGTAGAGTACAAGAAGCGTACTTCGAGGTTCGGGTAGTTCTGGTTTATGTAGGTCATCATTGACATCATAGGGCTGTGGGGGTGTTAGCGGTCGAGACATGCGAATCGGTGATGGCGTAGCTGGACGCACTTGATTCCGACACCTCCTGCGATGAAGATGGCGCGCTTGATCTTCTTCATATCCAGACAGGGAGGAGGCCAGACGAAGCTTCCACCCACACGCACAGTGACCTCCTTCCCCAGAATGTCGTCAACCGGCTGCCACAACCATGCTGCCGGTGGATTATCGGGGCTCTTCTGTACGGCTAACTCAAAGTATGGTACGAAGTCGGGATCTGACCGAGGTAGGGCTTCTGAAGGCGACGAGGTAATGGTAAACCCGCCGGCCTTTTCTACATCAGGCACAAAGACATCGAGCCATTGGCCGGGGAGGAACTGACTTATCCATCAGCGCATGTCGCGAGCGAGATGGAGATCGTCATACGTTGAAGCCGTCCTTTTCCTTGATTTCGAATTTAAAGCGCTTGATCCGGTCGTTGACAGGCGTCACTTTGGCGAGGGTGGCAGTGTGCACGTCGTTCTCTCGTGGTTCCGTCGCGGTGCGCTCTTGATGGCTAAGGATCGCTTTTGCTGAGCGAGCCTGTGGCATGCTGCTCAGCATGCTTCTCTGGGAGGAGAGTCGTCTCGGAAAGGAGTGATGGGACAAAAGTCGACGGGCAAGAATGCTCATAGCAAGAAGAAAGTATCTTACCACGAGGAAAATGTAAGTGGGGACACCGGGTAGAGGGGTCCAATGCGTTATGCAGGATGATCCACTGGGCGGGAGCTTGGACGACAGCCGTTAAGGCTAGCTGACTTCACCCTCATCATGTCATCGGCGCCTTTTCGGGGCTCCAAATATAGCCAAGTTTTATTGATCATCGAGTCTCGGAGAATGGGCTGACGATAACCATGTCGCCAGCTGAGTTGTCGTGTCTGACATGTGCAAGTGGTTGGTGGCACCAACAAAGCTATGACGCGTGCGGGAGCCGCGGCTGTCATCGGAGAGCTGAACAACTTCAGGTGTCAACTACTCTTATTTCCCTTCATCGCTTGATCTCAACCAGATCTGCATTACCAAGCGCACTAGACCTCCAATAGCTCCAATCTCAACCCCAAGCATACTCCGTTTCTCCCCAATTTTCGCCTGATAGCGTCACCATGTCCGTTGAGGAAGGCACCCATACCTTGCCCGATGGCAAACAGCTGTATACGAAAACATTCAGGGTATGGTGGAACCAGATCAATAAGATCAGCATTAACTCATTGAGTAGACGGACGGACCGGCAAAAGCCCGACTTGTATTCATCCATGGTTTCTCAGATGTATGGTTCTTGTAATAACAATATGGAATGCATCACTAACATTGTCTCTAGCACGGTGAGATTGCACTTACCACATGTGTATTCGGCCTCTAACATATATCAAGTCAACACCTACGGCGGCTTCTTTCCCCATCTGGCCTCTAGAGGCATTGAAGTTTACACGTTCGACCAGAGGTGCGTGCGTGTGCTGTTTCCAATATTTGATACTGACGAGGCGCAGGGGATGGGGCCGCTCTGTAACGAAACCCGCCGAGCGAGGAGACACGGGCCCGACTAGTCAGGTCCTTGACGATATCACCTCCTTTATCAAGACATTGATTCCGAGCCCGGTACCGCTCTTCATGATGGGGCATTCCATGGGCGGCGGTGAGACCCTTTGCTACGCTGCACAAGGTCCAGAGGAAGTCCGCAAGCACATTCGCGGCTTTCTCTTGGAGTCGCCGTTTGTCGACTTCGATCCCAAGTCCAAGCCCTCTCCCGTCACAGTCTTTTTTGGCAGAGTCGCTGGAAAGCTCATGGCGAAACGTCAGCTGACCAACAAGCTGGATCCTAAACTTATCTCACGAGACCCGGCGGTTTGCAAGCAATTCGACGAGGATGAGCTCTGCCATGATACGGGCACGCTCGAGGGGCTTGCAGGACTGCTCGATCGAACCAATGCTTTGTCTAGCGGCAAGGTCGTGATACCTGACAATGCTGGAGAGGGTGGCGTGACGAGGATCTGGATCGCGCATGGAGAACAAGATGGCATCACCAGCTACCCTGCTTCGAAACGCCTGTTCAGTGCCCTACAAGTCAAGGACAAGGAGTTCAAGTCGTACGCGGGATGCTACCATCGCTGTGAGTATTTGATCCAATCGAGTGTGTTCAAACTAACCTAGTCAGTACATGACGAGCCTAGTCCTGATAAAGACGCCTTCCGGGACGACGTTGTCAACTGGATACTTGCTCGCGCGACAGACCCTGCGGGCGAAGATAGTGCAAAGCCAAGGCTATAAATATTTGAAGAAGCTTTCTCAAACAGGCAACAAGCAAGCTGGGCGACGTAACCACGATACGAATGGCCATGACGTTTCTTGGCTCTACTCGTATTGACACGCGCGTCCGCCCAAAGTATGAAACGCGGAGGATCTTCAGGTCCATTTCCCTGTGAAGATGACGACGCTTCGAGAAGAGCCACACAAGAGCAGTGACAAAATAGTAGTAGACGTTAAATTCAGGCTTATTCATGATTTCAGCTATGAAATTGAATTGTGACTTCGCACCAACATCGTCGTCGTTGACAGCAGAAAACACAAACGCCTGCAAATCAACATAGTCTAGCGAATGCAACATTTCCAGTCTACTGTGTAGAATGTGGAGAGTGGTGATGTGAGCTGAAGCGAGGCGGGACGGATGTGGCGGTAGAGAGCTTGCCCCCCCAATTGCCGTGGGTTGACGCAAAAGGCGCCATGATACGCCAGGAACGAGGGCCGATAGCAACCGCGGAAGAGGGTCAAAATTGTCAGTCTTGGAGAGGCTCGCAGCAAGTCGCATCTGGGATTCCCGCATAACTAAAAGGCGCAACCGCTGCCACCACGTCCCATGTTACTGCGCACCGCCTGCAGAAATGGAGATGGCATGCGTGTCCAGTTTAGCCAGCGTGGACGCGTCTTACCTTCACCCCGAACCCTGCAGGGTGCTCAATCCAACTACTACTCTACGCAACCTTCAGTGCGACCGCACGGCCTATCACGATACGCTTACAAGCCTCCCATTTGCCGGCCCAGATTGCGCGTTCTCTGCACCCAGACGACGACTAAAGGCGCCCAATACCTCAAGTCTCCCTCGCATACGGCGCCCCTACTCAACTGGTCTTCCACCATCCACCGCAAACCACACTTTTCCCCTTCCACCATGACAGGCGCCACGCAGAAAAGGGAGCATGCTGGCCATTCCCACCACCACCATCACCACGACAACACGTTCCTGCTGTCCAAGAACAAGAATGACGCTGGCGTGCGCATCACCAAGATTGGCCTCTACGTCAACTTGGGCATGGCCGTCAGCAAGGGCTTTGGAGGCTACGTCTTCAACAGCCAGGGTGAGATGCATGTACGCGTTGTGTATGAACGCCAGCTAACTCCCGCCAGCACTCATCGCCGATGCCATCCACAGTCTCACCGACCTCGTGAGCGACATCATGACGCTCGCAACTGTCGGCTGGTCCCTCAAGCCGCCCACCAACCGCTTCCCCAGCGGATACGGAAAGGTGGAGAGTTTGGGCTCGCTCGGTGTCAGCGGCATCCTGCTTGCAGGAGGCTTCTTCATGGGCTGGACCGCTCTACTTGCCCTCTGCAAGCAGTTCTTCCCCGAAGCCGCCGAGATAGCTGAGCACTGGGGGCTTATACCGCATCATCACCACCATCACGGCATCGAGGATATGGGCCCCAACATCAATGCTATCTGGCTCGCTGCTGGCTCAATCGTCATCAAGGAGTGGCTGTACCGAGCGAGTGAGCACACCCCAATCGATTCAAGAAGCACGCGCTGACAACCATTCTAGCTCTCAAGATCGCCAAAGAACGCAAGTCCACCGTCCTCGCTTCCAACGCCTACCACCACCGCGTAGACTCTCTCACCGCTTTTGTCGCTCTCCTCCTAATCGCCGGTTCAAACGTGCTCAACAACGCAAAATGGTTGGACCCTGTTGGTGGATTGGTCATCTCGCTCATGGTCGTCCAAGCTGGCTGGGGAAACACCAAGCAGGCGCTCTTAGAACTAGCAGACGTCGGCGTAGACCAGGAGATGAAGGACAACGTTCGGAAGGCCGCGACTAGCGCTGTCGAGGGCATCACTACCACATCGGAGCCAGTGAACGTACGGGCAATTCAGGGTGTCAAGGCTGGGCAGAACTATCTTATGGATGTTGAAATCGGCGTATCAAGTGCGTGGACCATTGAGCAGACACGCGACGTCGAGAACCACATCCGGGAGCGCATCGGTGCCAATGTACGCGGAGTGAAGAAGGTGCGTGTGCGCTTTGTAGCCAACTCGGCGGAGGCACCAGACTTTCTCGACGAGTTCATCCCTGGCGACCCTACTGCGACATCGAATCCAGCATCGGAAGGACAACATGATCACGACCACGACCACAATCACGACCATAAACACGAGACCACCGATACCGACGCAAGGCGAAGGAAGTGATTCGTGTATATCTATAGACAAGCATGGCTGGGCGTTCGGAGTTGGGCAGAAGGACTACCCGGCGGCATATACAAGATATTCGACAGTTGGATATCTATTGAATCTATCACCTCAATTCGACTTCAGCCCACGCTCTAGACTCGTGCTTCCCCACGCTAACAAAAATTCCTAGCTGCCATCGGCGTTTGGCCGACATGCTACTCCAGAAAATCATAGCTGTACTCACGATGTCTCGGCACGAATTTATCCGTTGTCCAATCAATCCGCGCAAAAGAACTGGCGCTGCTGCAGGCACCGCCGGCAAAATTGCCTGTGATGTAGCTTGTCCGTCAATGTGGGTCTTGCGTCAGTGTGCCCGTATCTTGGGTGTGGGTGTGAGGAGGGTCCTCAACACCACGAGACGTGATCTGCTTATTTTAGCCATGTCTTGTCAAGCCATAACACTCAAATCCCCGACACTGCAGCTCGACACAGAATTGACATACCGCGACCATGGCTGATCAATTCTTGGGCTTCGACTTGAGCACTCAGCAACTCAAAGGTGAGGAGACCCCACTGGAGCTACCCCACTATCTGGACCTCTCCGACTTGCAGGGCTGAACTGACGCGACTGCGGTTTTCTAGGTATCATCGTTGGTTCCGACCTTAAACTTATCCACGAGGCCAAAGTCGACTTTGACGCCGATCTCTCCAAATATGGGATTGAGAAGGGCGTCCTCACAAACCCCGATGAAGGCGAGGTCTTCGCGCCAGTTGCCCTGTGGCTCGAGGCCATCGACCTTGTTCTGCAGCGATTGAAGGAACAAGGTGCAGATTTCTCAAAGGTGCAGGGTATTTCGGGTGCGGGCATGCAGCACGGCACTGTCTTCTGGAGCAAAGATGCAGAGACACTACTTGGCAGTCTAGATGCTGGCAAGACATTGCTCGACCAGCTGGAAAGTGGTGCCAAGGGTGAGAGGAAGGGTGCTTTCAGTCACCCTTTCAGCCCGAACTGGCAAGACGCAAGTACACAGAAGCAGTGCGATGCTTTCGACGCGACACTACAAGAGCCCAGGAATCTGGCCCTGGCTACTGGAAGCAGTGCTCACCATGTAAGCTTCCTGCCCTTTCCCGGCCTCTGTCGATACTAACACCATAAAGCGCTTCAGTGGCCCTCAGATCCTTCGGTTCCACGACAAGTATCCCGAAGCATACAAGGCCACGGCCCGCATCTCCCTCGTATCCTCCTTCCTCGCTTCGATCTTCCTCGGCAAGGTAGCCCCCATCGATATCTCAGACGTCACTGGAGCAAACCTGTGGGACATCAAGAACGGTCGCTGGCATGAGGATCTTCTGGCACTTGCAGCTGGAGGAAGCGAAGGCGTCGAAGATCTCAGGAAGAAGCTGGGCAATGTGCCCGAAGACGGTGGTTCAAGCTTCGGTACCGTCTCGCCATACTTCAGCAAACGCTACGGTTTCCCGTCGTCAGCTCAGGTCATCGCCTTCACTGGCGACAACCCATCGACTATCCTCGCCCTCCCTCTCCGCGCATCAGATGCCATCGTCTCTCTCGGAACCTCAACAACATTCCTCATGTCCACACCCGAGTACAGGCCCGACCCAGCCTACCACTTCATGAACCACCCCACCACAGCAGGCCTCTACATGTTCATGCTCTGCTACAAGAACGGCGGTCTAGCACGCGAGCACATCCGCGACGCCATCAACAAAGCCTCTGGCACATCGTCGGACAAATCCTGGGACAAGTTCAACGAAACAGCCCTCACAACTCCCGCGCTCGGCCAAGCCCAACCCTCCGACCCCATGCGTCTAGGCCTCTTCTTCCCCCGCCCAGAAATCGTACCAAACGTCAAAGCAGGAACATGGCGCTTCCTCTCCAAAGACAACCAGCTCTCGCCCATTGCACCAGAAGCCGCTCAGGCCAAGACAGAAGACAAGTCCTGGCCCGTTCCTCAAGCCGACGCCCGCGCGATCCTCGAATCGCAGTTCCTGTCGCTCAGACTGCGATCGCAATCCCTCGTTTCACCGCAGGGCTCTCTGCCCGCTCAGCCCCGCAGAATCTACATGGTTGGTGGCGGTGCTGTGAACCCCGCCATTGCCGAGCTCGCGGGCCAAGTCCTCGGTGGGTCTGACGGCGTGTACAAGCTTGAAATCGGAGGAAATGCTTGCGCTCTTGGTGCGGCGTATAAAGCGGCTTGGGGTGTGCAGCGATCGTCTCCTCAGGAGAAGTTTGAAGATTTCCTCGAGGCGAGGTGGAACGAAGAAGGGTTTGTCAAGAAGATTTGCGAGGGGTATAGGAAGGGCGTTTTTGAACAGTATGGGGATGCGCTCAAGGCTTTTGATGAGGTGGAGAAGGTGGCGCTTAGGGAGAAGGGCGAGGGCGAGAAGACGGATGTTAAGAAGGAGGCTATGGGGTTGCAGGGTCTGGATAACCAGAGGTAGGATGGATTTTGCATAGACTAATTTGATCTATTGTTCATTTTACTCACGTTGTGTGTTTCTATGAAGCTGGAGCAAGGCTATGCTACAGCTTGGCTGTGCCTGAGGCAGGCGCGTGATATGACCCCGCTTGAGGCTGAACAACAGCTAGCCTTCTCAGATCCATCCTCCTTCAAACACTCTACTATACATTTTTGTGTCGAGTAACGTCTGTTCACTCCGACACCTGCTGCAGTTATGAGTACGACCGAGGGTGAAAATCATTCCTTCAAGCGGCTTTCCGAAGATGATCGAAAGTGCACCAAACGCCGCAAAACTGCAGCGCATTCATCAGGTCCTACTGGAACCTTGTGCGCCAATTGTTTGGATA